AAGCATCTTCAGTCTACCCGCACACAGGACATGTGTGAGCTCTGGGGTCTGCGTCTCTTCTGCTCTGAAAACAGACCCCAATCTTTGCTCCTTCTCCCCGCAGACCCCCGACGAAGGAGCCTGGACGTCTGTCTATGCCGCGGTCACTCCAGACCTGGAAGGGGTTGGTGGCCGCTACCTCTACAATGAGAAGGAGACCACATCCCTCAAGGTGACCTACGACCAGAAGCTGCAGCAGCAGCTGTGGGCCACCAGCTGTGAGATGACCGGTGTTGTCGACGTGACCCATGACACCATCTTGAGATAGCCACTGTTCCAGGAAGAGGCGTGTACTGGGCGACTAGGGAGGACCATGGCCTTCTACATGTCCATCTATAGTCTTGACTCAAATGCCTGAACTTTTGAAGGAATTCCAGGAAGGAAGGAAGCATTGAGGTGGACACCCCCAGGTGTTCCTCAGCTGCAATCCTTGTGATCCCAAAGTGCCAAATTGTCACAGGTGCCATAAATAATTAAAACCTCTCACCTGATTGTGCGGTTTTCCTTCCTTGGCCGCATAGGACTGAGTATGGATGTTCCAGGAGACATGGCCCCCTTGTGAGGGTTCACCACACCCTGTGGGGAGCTGCTGGTTTGTGGGGTGTCTGGTTTCATGTTGTTTTTTCACTAATTCACTCTTGCAGAGACTGAGCTCAGATCCACATGTCCCAGAAGCAGGGACATGGGAGCCTAGACCTAGATATAGGGTCAGTTTATCTGTCCCTAACACCTGATCAGCCTTACTCAAGAGTAGTCAACAGGTGACAATGTGGTGTTGTCGGATCAGAGATACTCAAACATAAGCCAGCTGCAGAGGGGATTCTGTAGGGCCGGGGACAAGCTTAGTGACTGGGGTCACTCTGAGAGTCTCTAGGAATGGGACAAGGACAGGGTCTGGACAGAGGTCAACCTGGGATTCTCTAGTATGTGGATGGGCAGGGCCTGGACAGGGGTCACTGTGGGATTCTCTAGTATAAGGACAGGCAGGGCCAGGACAGTGATCACTGTGGGATTCTCTAGTATGGGGGCAGGGTACAGACTGGACAGGGGGTCACTGTGGGATTCTCTAGTATGGGGACAGGCAGGGCCTGGACAGTGGTCACTGTGGGATTCTCTAGTATGGGGATGGGCATGGCCTGGACAGTGGTCACTGCGGGCTTCTCTAGTTTGGGGACAGGGCATGGACTGGACAGTTGTCACTGTGGAATTCTTCAGGGTGGGGACAAAGGCAGGGCCTAGACAGGGGTCACTGTGTGATTTTCTAGGACAGGGATAAGAACAGGGCCTGGACATTGGTCACCATGAGATACTCTACGATTTAGACAGGACGTTGCCTGGACAATAGTCACCGTGGAGTTCTCTAGGACAGAGATGATCTCATCTCAAGACCTTTTGCTTAATTACATCTTGAAATACCTGTTTTGCAGACAAGGTCCCATTCACAAAAACGATGGATGAGGACTTCCCTTAATCTTTTGGGGGTATCCCATCCAATCTGCACACTACAGGACGCAGACACCCTGGGGCTACACAAGTGCCCGTTCCATTTCTGGGGACCTGAAAATCCATGGACGTTGTAATTTATGTTATACATACCCAAGGATTCACAGGTGTGCAAGGTCCCGGGTCACATGGGATCCTATGCACACGAGGGCGCCATATTGGTTTAACACTCGGCCACCACCATCTTGAAATAACTGAGTTTAAAGAGGAGCCCACTTTTTCATTTTGCTCTGGGGCTATACATTTTAGGGCCATCTCTGCTTGTAACCATTCCCTCCCCAAGCCTGTGGAGCAAGTCAGCAGTGAGACAACTCCATTCCCGCAGTGAGCCCTCTGCAAAGGCATCAGTGAGGTCTTTCCTGTCACCATGTGTGAAAATCTCCCCAAAGGGTCCAGTAAGGCTAGAGGTTTTGAGCTACTTACTGCACAAACCGCTAACAGTGACTGTTGCTCAGCCCACCCCCAACATAATTCTGGAGTTAATTCTTCTGGGTATCAGCATTTATTGAAAGTTTCCCAACTCACGCGCTTGTTCAGCCAAGTTGGAGACCTCCTGAGCCGGGCAGATGCCAAGTGCAGCTTCCAGCCTTGGGTGCACGCCAGCGCCTCTGACACCATCCATAATAGGATCAATTCAAACACCCAGAACTGCTCAGAAGTTGTGCTTAGCCCTGGAGGCCAGATGGGTGTATTTCTGAACTGGAATGAATTCTTACTTTAAGCCACGATTGAGGTATGCCCTCTTCAGAATAACATTTCTGAACAGCCAGGACTACGTACCCAAAAGCAGAGTCTTGAATTGTAGGAAGATCTCAGCCGTTGAACACTGGCTTATCATCTGAGAGCTCACTGGCAGCTTCAAGTCACGGCACAGAAGTACCAGCTTCTCTTTATCATCACCACAAAGGCAGCTCCAAGTGCCAGGTCCTGATGAGATGGCAGGACGTCTCTTCACCAAGCTTTATGTTTTTATTGCTGAGGGAAAAAGCATACTGACAAGTGACAGATGCCACAGTCCCCAGGCTGGGAAGATGGGCTCTGGGAGCAATTAGAATCTTGTACAACTCTGCCCTCGGAGAGTTCCTCTGTGTCATGGTTCATCCCTGGGAAACAGAGAACATGGTTCTGGAGAAGTTACCATGTGCTTCATGACACCTGACTGTACAATTTCTTGGTGCTGGAAGACACTTCCCAGCAGCCGGAGAAATGGTGTGGATTGCAGGTGAGTAGAGCCAAATGTGTGGTGTGGTGGAGCTCTGGGGGCCTTGCGTTTAAGCCTGAAGCTGATGGCATGAGAGACATTAGGGATCAGTACACACAGGGTGGATGAGTTTATTACCCTCAGCCAAGCCTCGATTTGTTAGTCATACCTGTGCTGTGAGTGTTTCCTGGTGAAGCTTCATTCCTTTCTGGCATCATCAGTGGCTTCTGTTCAGGTTCAGCAATGGATATGATCACTTCATTATTTCATTTATCCATTCATCCATCCACTCAGCCATCCATCCATCCATACACCATCCACCCATTCACCCATCCATCTGTGCACCCATCCATCCACCCATCTACCCATCTACCCACCCACCTATCCATCCATCCACCTACCCATCCATTCATCTATCCACCTATCCATCCACTCACCTATCCTTCCTTCCTTCCATCTATCCATCTATTCATCCATATATCTCTTCATCCATTCATCCATACATCTATCTACCCATCAATCCATTCATCCACCTATCCATCCTTTCATCCATACTATCTTCCTTCCTTTCATCCACCTATCTTCCTTCCTTCCATCTATCCATCCATTCATCCATATATCTCTCCATCCATTCATCCATACATCTGTCTATCCATCCATCTATCCACTGATCCATCTATGCATCTATCCACCCACCTATCTATCCATTCACCCATCCATCTATCCATCCATCCATACGTACATACATCTATCTATCCATTCATCCATCCATCCATCCACCCATCAGCAAATAAATGTTAAGTATTACTTCTCAGTCAGGTTCTGAACACAACATTGGGACCCAACATTGGTTGGGACAGAGCTCCTCCTGTCCTAAGGGATTGGGGGCTTTGGTAGACTAAGAAATAGCCCCTAAACAGAACAGATACTAATCCCTGGAACATGGGAATGTTGCCTTATGTGGTACCAGGGACTTTTACAAAGACAACAAAGAGTGGCTGGTGTGGGATACATCACACACTGCCTAGATGTGCATCACTCCAGATGTTGCCCCGAGAGGGTCTTTATCATGAGCATATGTGGTGGACATTTCTCAATGTGGCTGTTAGGAAATATAGCCCTATATCAGACACCCTGATTTTTTTGAAGGCAAGACGGGTTGGGAGGCTGGACTGGAGGAGGCTGGATGATTGCATGCCTGGGTCAAAGCAGACCCACCAGGTCTGGGTCTTATGTAGTATCTCACCATATGGTCGGTGTCATAGTTGAGCCCTTGAGTCTCTGTTTTTATGGTACTACCAGCATGCATCTCATGCACACTCAGCATTGCCATGAGGGGAGCACAGCTGAAGCAATGCTCACAACTAAATGAATACCACCCATGGTTGCGTGTTCAGGGTCTTGTTGGTTTTGCTACTTAAGGAAAAAGAAAAATTCAGTTGAGATTGCATTTTGTGTAGTTTGGAGGAGAGGATGGACAGGTGGATAAATGGGTGGACGGATGGATAAGTGGGTGGATGGATGCGTAGGAACTGTAGGGAGTAAAACCTATGGAACTCTGGTCCCTGGCAAAGCAGCATCTCAGAGTCAGCAGAAGACCTGTCACTGGTCTTAATGTTTACTGTTTTTTAATCATTTTCAGTGATATCTATTGCATTACATCTATCCTTTTTTTTTTTTTTTTTTGCGGGGGCTGGGTTTGAACCTGCCACCTCCAACATATGGGGCCAGCGCCCTACCCCTTTGAGCCACAGGCACTGCCCCATCTATCCTATTTTTAATAAGTCTTTTTGCCTTCTTTCTGGCATGTGCTATGTAATATCCTGATTTGATGCATTCCTTTTTAAAATTTATTTACTTTAACTTTTTTTCATTGTTGTTATTCTTAGTTTTCTTTTTTTATAGCTGTAGCCTTCACTGTCCGCCCAATTCTCTTCCTGTCCCTTGGGACGCCTTTTACAGACTTGAGGTTCAGTTGCTATTTTCAGTTTTCCTCTTTAAATAATGGATTATACCTAAAAGGGAATTTCAACATTCCCAAATGTATAGAATTGAAAAAGAGTAATTTTGTTTTGTTGCATGTTTCTGATTTTATTACATAGGATCTTAGAAGATGGTTTGCACCATCCACTGTGGTTTTACAAGCAGTCAATTGTACAAGTTGAGTTGTCTAGTCTTGGGGAGCCAGGTTTTATATACTTTTATCTATACAAACGGGAATTTTAATTATGTTCTCATGTGTATTCATGGTATGTTTTCAAGAGACGGTTTTGGAAATTTCCATCAGTGTATGCTTTATATATTTGAAGGCTGTGATATTTGATAAGTGTCCTTACAAGAACATAAAGAGTCCAGAGCTTTCTCTCTCTCCCTGTGGCATTTGCAGACAGCACAAAGTACCTATAAGGTCTGACAATTAAGTTCATCAACTTGCAGAACTGACAAAAACATGGTAGAAATTTGTGAAATTGCACTTTAGAAGCATTAGCTGACTGTGAGAAGCATAGCAGACCACATAAACATCAATACAGAAACAGTCAGGAAACTCTTAACTGAACATCTTGGCCAACAACTCGTAGCTCTTGCATCACGACAGTGCACCAGCTGACACGGCACTGTCTGTGAAGCTGTTTTTAGCTAGTAAACCACTATATTGGAACACTTTTCCTACTCACCTGATCTGTCCCCCAATGACATTTTTCTTTACCTGAAAATACAGGATTTTTTTTTTTTTTT